CTGAGCTGAAATGTTAGCCTCATATTCTTTTTTTTTTCCTTGAGACAGAATCTCCCTCTGTTGCCCCAGGCTGGAATTTAGTGGCGCAATCTTGGCTCACTGCAATCTCTGCCTCCTTGGTTCAAGCAATTATCCTGCCTCAGCCTGCCAAGTAGCTGGAATTACAGGCACATGCCACCACTCTTGGCTAATTTTTGTATTTTGAGTAGAGATGGGGTTTCACCATGTTGGCCAGGCTGGTCTCGAACTCCTTACCTCAAGTGATCCACTTGCCTCAGCCTCCCAAAGTGCTGAGATTACAAGCGTGGGCCACTGCACCTGGCCCGCACATTCTTTTTACACCAATTTCAGGATGCAGATTGTGCAGTCCCAAGTGGAGTGAGCTGAAAGCCATAAGAAGGGCAGAACTAATGAGGAAGAGAATGAAGGCAGAAGTGAACATGTAGAACCATGCTAACAGGGTCTGGTGTTTGATAGAAAAAACAACAAAAAAATAGAACAGACTTGCCCAATTTCTTCAAACTAGTCCATAAACAAATAATGTCTTGGGCACTTCTCCAAATGCCAGATGCCCAGGCAGTAGTGCCAGAACCAGAGTGAGGCAGGTGAACCACTTGCATGACACTGAGAGTGAGAAACTCTTAAAGTTGACACTCCAGGTGTCTCACTCGCCTCCCCTCATCCCAACCACACTGCAACAAGGGTAAAGAGCATCTTTCCTTTGAGTCTTAACTTCAAAAATAGACTAAGAGGCTACAAACTGGACTAGCGTCTACATCCATCTGAACAATTCTTCTTTGTTGGCAGCCCAGAATGGAGGATGAAATTAACAATGAGTAATTCACACTCTGCAAAAAGCAAAATATTAAAGCCTGATTGCGGGCTTCCTAATGGACAAGATTATTTTCCTCTACAGAGAGATTTAGGTTGCCAGAGGAGCCATCTGCAGCGCCCCAAAGCATTTAGGATGAGACCCCTCTGTTGGCATTAGCCTAGCCCACTGATCTGGAGCAGGATGTGAGATGCTCTGCTGGTGGTTCTGGCTCCAATCCACCAAAACCACATGTCGAGGACTGAAAGAGGAATCTGAGACTATGTGTGGCTGATTGGGCCATATCTTCTGGAGAGAGCTTGTAGTCATTAAGAATAGCCGGCCGGGCACCTTGGCTCATGCCTGTGATCCCAGCACTTTGGGAGGCTGAGGCGGGTGGATCACGAGGTCAAGAGATGGAGACCACCCTGGCCAACATGGTGAAACTATGTCTCTACTAAAAATACAAAAATTAGCCAGGCCTGGTGGCGCATGCCTGTAGTCCCCGCTACTCGGGAGGCTGAGGCAGGAGGAATCACTTGAACCTTGGAGGCGGACGTTGCAGTGAGCTGAGATTGTGCCACTATGCTTCAGCCTGGTGACAGAGTGAGACTCCATCTCAAAAAAAAAAAAAGAACAGCCAAGACCCTCATCTTCCTGTCTAGAGGCAGGAACTTTTCTTAACTCTTTCAGCTGTCTGTCAGTTTCCACCTGTGGGCTCCCTCAATCCTTCCCGCACTAAGCTAATCATGGCATGCGTTACAAGGGTGAAAATGCCACATCTGGGCTGAAACCAGGACAGCAACATGAACAAAATGAGAAGTTCAAAGGGACAAGCTCACCTAAAAATTACTTGTCCCCATGTTTCCCCCACCTTTCTCCTTTCTCCCTAAGACCCAAGTTATAGAAGAGCTTGAATGTGATAAAATACTTGGCTTTTGGTCCCTTGCTTTCCAGGGATGTTTAGAGGAAACTCTTGAGACCCTTGGATGTGTTCTCTGCTGGGATTCTCCCAAGGGCTGCATCCACAGTATGGAAATGGATAGGATGCTGCAAAGCTATTTCCACAAAGCACGGTGTGGTATTTGCATGTAATTTCCCTATGGATACTGTGCAATCCCTCCCCAGACCATTTTCAAGTTAAAAGCATTTTTATGGCTCTCTTGATGGCAGTCACTTCTGGATTTTTCCTCCTCTCCGAGCTGTCTTCTCCCTCAGGCACTGTCCCTGGCCCAGATCTTTGGAGAGAAAGCTAAGTGGAGCCAGGGAAGAACCATAGAGGAATGCAGGACTCAGCCCAACCTTTGCCATGGGCACTGGCTGAGGTTCTGTTTCCAAAATTGTTTAGGTGATTACACTGTAGACTGTGGGACTCTAGTTCAATTAATTCACAAAAAGTCTCTTTGATCTAGCAGTTTCTGAACTACCTTCTATCCCTTTCTTTTCTGCCTCTGGTAATAATTCTTTTAAAAATGAGTCTTGGCCAGGTGTGGTGGTTCACGCCTGTAATATCAGCACTGTGGGAGGCTGAGGCGGGTGGATCACCTGAGGTCAGGAGTTTTAGGCCAGCCTGGCCAATATGGTGAAACCCTGTCTCTACTAAGAATACAAATATTAGCCGGGCGTGGTGGCAGGCATCTGTAATCCCAGCAACTCGGGACGCTAAGGCAGGAGAATTTCTTGAACTCGGGAGGTTGCAGCAAGCCGAGATTGCACCTTTGCACTCCAGCCTAGACGACAGTGTAAGACTCCATCTCAAAAACAAAACAAACAAAAAGAGTCTTGATTCACTTATTGAATCTTTGCAATAGACGCTGAAGATTGGGCTATTTTCAGAGGAGGAAACAGAGACGGTTAAGTTACATAGCTGCTTAGGGTCTTGATTTGTCCAACTCAAAGTCCAGTGCTCTTTCTGTGCCTCAGTCTCTTCAACTGCAAAATTGGGGTGTAAATAGCATGTATTTGATAGGGTCATTGGGAGGGTTGAATGCTTTCATCTTTGTTAAGTGTTTAAAACAGCCTTGCACATAGAGTATTCCATAAATATTCACTGATTTTATTGTGCTATGCCTTGTTTTTCTTTACCATTCTATGCATTGGACTCATGACTCTTTTATGGGAGGTGAAACCAACTTCTACGCTTGGAAAGTATTATTCAAGATGGAGAAGCTGGCTTCCCAGGCTCAGGCCCAGGTGGGACCAGAACCGATACCTCGTAAGCAACAGGACTGGACTGCCTGACTGAGCCACATCCCTGCCTGGCCCTGGCTAAGCAGAAGAAACTCTCAGACATGGGTAAACCCACAAAGGGAAGGGATGTCCCACTTACAAAATGCTGAGGGCAGGAAGAAGGAAGGCTTCTGAACAGAGCCAAGGAGTATAAGTCAACATTTTACTCTGTGATGTGTTGAAGGCCTTGTGTTTTGAGGTAGTTCTAGATTCTTCATGACTTGTATTTCACCTTTACCCAGCAGTTACAAGTTAGGGCCCGTGTGTGCTGAAAGGAGTATGGAGGAGGACACCAGTTCCCTACCACAGGGATGACTGAAAGCCTTGGAGTAGTTAGGACCAGGGACTGGAGAGAGAGCTCTGAACTCTGCCAGAGAGCCCTGGTGCTCAGGAGAGGCTGCCCCGCAGGGACTTGCCCTGTAGCTCAAGCCTTCCTTAGTAGCTGCCGATATAAATGATGGTCCCCACCATCCTGGGGACCTTGGAAGAAACCAACGCAATTAGCATCAGGTCTGTTGGCTGCTGCTGAAAAGACGGCAATGAAAAATACAAAATCTGCCAGGCACGGTGGCTCACGCCTGTAATCCCAGCATTCTGGTAGGCCGAGGTGGGCGGATAATGAGGTCAGGAGTTCAAGATTAGCCTGGCCAGCATAATGAAACCCCATCTCTACTAAAAGTACAAAAATTAGCCGGGTGTGGTGGCGCAGGCCTGTGATCCCAGCTACTTGGGAGGGCTGAGGCAGGAGAATCGCTTGAATCTGGGATGTGGAGGTTGCAGTGAGCTGAGATGGAGCCACTGCACTCCAGCGTGGGCGACAGAGTGAGACTCAGTCTCAAAAACAAAACACACACAAAAAAACAAAAACACAATATAACCAGGAAAGAACTAGACTCTGTAAAAGAGCTTTACAAACCTAATCAAGAGAACAAGACACACCAAACTGTACTCTGAACACTGTTAAAAGTTGTGAAAGTCATGTTCTAGCAGCTGAAATTTTTGCTGATCAGTCCATTCTCTCAGGAAAAAACCCCAGACCCACAAAGAAAATAGGAGGTTTAAAACACAAATGTCTGCAATTAAGCAATGGAATGACGTCTTCCGCCAGCCCGAGCTTCACACTGTTATGTTTTTATCAAGAGGAACCCCGGGTTCTGCCTGGCCCGGTTCGCTTTCTCCTGCGTTGACTCACTCAACACTCAGGCCTTTCAAGTTTCCAGGATCCCGTTTCCAAGATACAGACAGAGGCTCCATGTCTTGATCTTAATCCTGAATCGATGTTCTCCCACCTTTAGGCTACAAGGAGCCATAAACAGCACGTACAGAGTTGGGAGCGCTTCGAAAAGACGCACGTGAGAGGGAGGCGGCATCTTCCCAGCTGGTCACCAGCATTAACTTGGCGGTGGCAATGAGCCCCGGAAGATGGGGCAGGAGAGATGCGAACGCAACGTGGGACCCCCCCGCCCCGCCCCCGGCGTGAGGTTTCCGACGACCGCCGACGGCCAATGCTGAGGGGCGGTCTGGGAAAGCTTCCTCCAGGCGCTGGAACTGCGGTGTGGGGACCACCCGCTGTGGGATGCCCTGGACAATGGCGAGCTAGCTCCCGGCCAGGCAGGCCTTGCGGACCGCGGGAGGGGGCGGCTCCCTGCGCGGTAATCCGAGCCGGGATAAACAGGCGTGGAGGGGCAACGCGTCCCAGCCCCGCTCAGCGCTACCTTCCCTAGGTCCGCGCTCCGGCCGGCCCCGCCCCCGCCGCGAGACCCCGGCCGCGCCCCCGCCCCGCCCCCGCCGCGAGCCCCGGGGCCGTGTCCCAGAGCGCGGAGTCCTGCCGCGGCTCCCCGAGCTAGGCACGCGCCGCCGGCTCCTGCTGCAGCCCCGCGTTCATTGGCTGCTCCGGCGTGGGCGCTCCCGCCCCGCCTCGCCATTGGCTGAGGCCGCCGCGGTCCCCGCGCGGAGCTGCAGCTGACATCACGGGGCCTGAGGCGGCGGCGGCGGCGCCCCCGGCCCAGCCCAGCCCCGCAGTCCCCTCGGCAGAGGCGCCGCTGTGGTGCCCGGCGGAGGATGGTGCGCGGCGCGCCGGGGGCTCCCTGCTGCCAGAGTCGCAGCGCCGCGACGAAGCCGGCCGCGGCGGGCAGTCGACCCCCGCACCGGGCGCGGGGCGGGCGGCCGCGGTGAGGCGCGGAGGGCGGCGCGGGAGCCGGAGCCGGGCTGGGGCTGCAGCCGCAGCAGCCATGGGGGCCCTAACGAGCCGGCAGCACGCGGGCGTGGAGGAGGTGGACATCCCGTCCAATTCCGTGTACCGCTACCCGCCCAAGTCCGGTGAGGACAGGCGAGCGCCGCGGCCGCGAGGAGGGAGAGAGGCAGGGGCGGGGGTCTGGGTCGGGACGGCCCGAGGGGGCCCCACGGGTCCTCGGAGACCCAGTGACCGCGGCCTCTCCGAAACGATCTTCGAGCGCGGGAGGTCCTCAAGAAGGCCGAGGTCTCCCCAGCCCCGGACGAATTAGCGCAGGAGGCGTCCTGCGGGGCCTGGCGGGGGTCACCAAGGGCACCGAGCCCCTCCACTGGAGGACGGGAGCGGCCTCCATTGTAATCGGCCCCGTGACGGGGACGCGTGTCCGCAGGGACTGCGGCTCCCGGGAGCGGGGCTGCGGCGTCGTAGGCGAGGTCGGCGCCCCGCACGGACCCGGCGGGTCTGGCCCACAGCCCGTTTGCCTCGCGGGGACCAAGGGCCACGGAGAGGCGGCCTCGGCATCCCTAATAGGCACCTTCGCCAAGTGCTGTCCCTGCGCTGCAGCCTCCGGGCCTCTGGAGAGGTTAGAATTAGGTTTCTTCTGGAAAAGCTTCTATTGCCTGCGGAGGATGGAAGCCAAACATGCATTTGCAGTGCTGGTGCCTTTACAGAGGCTGTCAGAAGCGGGTGGAGGTGGGGGAGAGTAACAGAAATGTTTGGGAATCTGAGTATCAGAGTCCCTCGAATTGCCCCTTTGCCAGCTTTGCAGCAAGCCTGGGTTTTGGAGTGAGACTATCCCTGGGTCAAGGCAGAGATATTGGAAACGTAAAGAAGTATTATGTTTGTTATCAGAATCAAACCTTCACTTAAGGAGCTGAATGTCTCCAGTTTCTGGGTTGGGGGTTATCAGCATTGGAGATGAAGGAGGATTTTGACAGCAAAGCAGAGAATCACAGGAAGGTAGTTTAGTTATGTGAGCACCAGCTAATGTGAATTGCTGCTGCATGACCTAGCTGGTGGATACTTTTAATTGCAAGTAATTTTCCTTTAATTGCAGTTATTTTTAAATTACTTTTAATCTTATTCTCAAGACTTCTGGGGATAGATGGCTACCACCTTCTCTCTGGCTTAGGACCTGATGGAGATTTTGGTGATCTTGGAATGAGGTGTCAGAATTGGAGCGGAGCCTCCTCTCTTTTTGGTAGAGTAGAGACATGCTAATGAGATGAGCTAATTTCTCAGCAGTGTGTCCAGTGTCTGCCAGGTAAAAGCAGGGGCCAGACGATGAACCTGCTCGCATCCCTGCCGAGTGTCTGCCAGAGCTGTGTTTCTCACTGCTTTTGTGCCAAAGAATGAATCCTTGCAAAGATGAATATGATGAATTGTTTTATAAAGCTGTGGGTCATGAGTATTTTAATAAAGCTCTGACTGATTATGACTACATAAAATCAATACTAAAGAAGGCATGGATTTTGTTTTTTGTTTTGTTTTGTTTTGTTTGAGACGGAGTTTCACTATTGTTACCCAGACTGGAGTGCAATGGCACGATCTCGGCTCACCGCAACCTCCGCCTTCTGGGTTCAAGCAATTCTCCTGCCTCAGCCTGCCGAGTAGCTGGGACTACAGGCGCGCACCACCATGCCCAGCTAATTTTTATATTTTTAGTAGAGACGGGGTTTCACCTTGTTGACCAGGATGGTCTCGATCTCTTGACCTCCTGATCCACCGGCCTCAGCCTCCCAAAGTGCTGGGATTATAGGCGTGAGCCACCGCGCCCGGCTGGATTTTGTTTTTTAATAGACAAAAATATGCAGCAGTATTTGTGGACTCGGTTTTTCTTAAACCACATGGCTTTTATTGATTAGAATATGGAGCATACTTTGCTGAGCTTGGAATTTTCAGAAGTGTTTGCTGCCTCAGGATAGTATCACCCCTCCCTTCACATGTGAAACTTAACATATATAAACCTCTGGAAGGCTGTTCCCCAAAGCATTTTTATACAAGTATGAATCTTGGGTGATGATAATAAAAGGATAATAGACCAAACCAAAACTTTTTTGTTAATTAACACACTCAATACTTTGCCTTAAATAATCCTCTCTACTCTACCAATCTTTTAAAAGTTTTACTTAACTGTAAAACTGTAATTCATGTTAAATCAGAAGTTACACATGAGAGAAGTCTTTACAGCCAGTGGACCAATTATTTCTGTTGAAGCTAAAGCATAGAAAATAGAATCCGAACATCTGTGTCTCTGTCAGCAAACCTTTGTGTATTTGAAACCTTATGTGAGCTTGCATATACGCTCTAGATAGAGCCTTTCTTCTGATCATTGAATTGACCTGGCTCATTATGGGATTACAGTATTAGTCCTGAAAGGAACCTTCAAGAGAGTTTGGCCATTACCACTATGCCTAGCTAATGTTTAATTATTATTATTATTATTATTTTGAGTCAGAGTCTCACTCTGTCATGCCCAGGCTGGAATGAAGTGGCGAGATATTGACCACTGCAACCTCCACATCCCAGGTTCCGGCAATTCTCCCGGCTCTGTCTCCCAAGTAGCTGGGATTATAGGTGCTTGCCACCATGCCTGGCTAATTTTTTGTATTTTTAGTAGAGACGGGGTTTCACCATATTGGCCAGGCTGGTCTCGAACTCCTGACCTCAGGTGATCCACCTGCCTCAGCCTCCCAAAGTGTTGGGATTAGAAACGTGAGCCACCACGCCTGGCTAAGTTTTTTGTAGAGACAGTATCTCACTATGTTGCCCAGGGTGGTCTTGAACTGGTCTCAAGCAATCCTCCCGCCTTAGCCTCCCATTCATTTCACTAATAAGAAAATGGAGACCCATAGAAATGAATTGGCATGGCTACGGTCTCTCAGCCAGTTAGCATTCTTTATACTATACCATCTGACTCTCTGCCTTTCAAGGAATTGGGTTTTGAACTTGTACTCAAAACACATGACTTAAAACAATCATTCCATGATTATGGAGTAAAGCTATTTTGTGTCACAATTGAAATCCTTATAGAGGAATTGGCCTGGGTTGATTTTAAGAAGTCTCCTTATCCTGAGTACTGATAGTGGAAGAAAGCAAGCAGCAGAGTCAGTTTTCTCCAGATGACATACCCTGTGGCCTGGGTGTTAAGTTGAGACCACTACCTGACTCGCTGGAAAGTGGCTAGAGCTGCACCACTGCCTGTGGAATGGTTGCTTCAGAAAGAAACACCATCATCTGCCCTTGTAATGATGTTTACCATGCCCAGCAGAAATTGCTTTTTTCTGAGTATTTTTAATGGAACTTCTTAGTTTTGTATGCACATTGAAATAGAAACATTTAAATCCTATCAAGAATGGCTGATATCAAATTGAGACTTGGATTTGTAGCTTTTTTCTATCCTTAGAGGTAGATAGAAATAGCCTAAATTATTTGGAATTGTTTATTTTTGAGTAGGCAATATAGTCACATGGTTCAAAATTTAAAGGAATAAAAAAGCATCCATGAAAGCCTTGTTCTTGCCGCTGTTCTCCTTCCTCCCTCTAAACCTCCCCTCCCATTTAACCACTTTGGGTTTCTTTGGAATTCTTTTAGATTTTCTTGTGTAAATGCAAGCATAGCATGCTATTAGACTGCTATACACCTTGCTCTTTTTGCTTTCAGAGATATTGGAGATCTTTTTTTTTTTTTGAGATGGAGTCTTACTCTGTCACTCAGGCTGGAGTGCAGTGGTGCAATCTCAGCTCACTGCAACCTCGGCCTCCCAAGTTCAAGCAACTCTCCTGTCTCAGCCCCCCGAGTAGCTGGGACTACAGGCTCGTGCCACCACGCCCAGCTAATTTTTTGTATTTTTTTAGTAGAGACAGGGTTTCACTGTGTTAGTCAGGATGGTCTTGATCTCCTAACCTCATGCTAGGCCCGCCTTGGCCTCCCAAAGTGCTGGGATTACAGGTGTGAACCACTGCACTCAGCCTGGAGATCTTTTTATATTGTCTCATATTTGACAGTTTCTTTGTACTTTTTAACAACTGCATAGTATTCCTCTGTATGTGCCATCATATATATATATATATATATATATATATATATATATATAATTGCATTTTAGGTTTTGGGGTACATGTGAAGAACATGCAAGATTTTTGCATAGGTACATACATGGCAATGTGGTTTGCTGCCTTCCTCCCCATCACCTATATCTGGCATTTCTCCCCATGTTATCCCTCCTCAACTCCACCCCCCGCTTTCCCCCAGTGATGAACATCTGTGGATTGTTTTTTCATTATCTTACTGTTGCAAACAATGCAATGATGAATAATGTTATATATTAGGTGATTTTTAGATTTATTAATGTGCAAATATTAATCATTTAAGTAGTAGAAAGTGAGGTGGGAGTTTCTATGTAGCATTTCTACATTAGCATAGAAAGCAGTTTAGAGCATGATTTTGCTACATTTGGTTGTACTTTTGTAATTTTTTAGTTAGAGGTCATACATCCTTCTCTAAGATCTTTGCATCTTTAAAAGCCCAAGATAGGGTGCTGTGGCTTACGCCTGTAATCCTAGCACTTTGGGAGGCCAACATGGGTGGATCACAAGGTCAGGAGTTCAAGACCAGCCTGGCCAACATGGTGAAATCCCATCTCTATAAATAAATAAATAAAAGCCCAAGATAATTTGTTTCACAAAGAAACATATGGCTTTGCAGAGATGGTTATTTTTTTGAAAGATCATCTTTTGACAGTGTTAGAAGTCCATGTTGATAAGAGCCTGTTTTCTCTATCCAGGAAGAAATCGGCATACTATAAAGACAATTTAATTTATATAAACCAGTACCTCATAAATCTAGTTTGTTTCCCCCCACATATTTGAGTAAGTTGGAAAATAGGAATACTTTGTTTTGCTGAAGTCTTTAAGAACTAAACCTACTATAAAAATTCAGAATGGTAATCAGAGTCCTGACCAGCTAGCTTGGTTAAACCTGGGTTTCTGCTTTTAAGGACTTCAACTGACTAGACGAGGCCCACCCATATAATCAAGGATAATCTCCTTTGCTTAGAGTCAACTGATTGTAGATTTTTAGAAATTAA